TTTATAAAAATATTTGCTGAAATATTTATTTTATATTGTATTTTTTTAGACAGTGTCTCGCTCTGTTGCCAGGCTGGAGTGCAGTGGCTCAGTTTCAGCTCACTGCAGCCTCCGACTCTCTGGTTCAAGCAGTTCTCTTGCCTCGGCCTCCCAAGTAGCTGGAATTACAGACATGCACATGCACATGCACCACCACGCCTAGCTAAATTTTTTGTATTTTTAGTGGGGGGGGGGTTACCCACAGAGACCAGCCCGGACAATATAGTGAGACCCGTCTCTACAAAAAAAGGATTAAAAAGTTAGCTGAGCATGGTGGTGTGTACCTGTAGTTTCAGCTATAGGTGGGAGGATTGCTTGAGCCCTGAAGGTAGAGGTTGCAGTAAGCTGATATTGTGCCATTGCCCTTCACTCCAGCTTGGGTGATAGTGAGATCCTGTCTCAAGGGGAAAAAAAAAATTGTTTGGCAGGGTACGGGGGCTCATGCTTGTAGTCCCAGCACTTTGGGATGCCGAGGTAGGATTGCTTAAAGCCAGGAGACTAGCCTGGTCAACATGACAAGTCTCCATCTCTACAAACAATTTTATTTTTATTTATTTATTTTTGAGATGGAGTCTCAGTCTGTCACCCAGGCTGGAGTGCAGTGGCACAGTGTTTGCTCACTGCAGCTTCTGCCTCCTGGGTTCAAGCAATTTTCCTGCCTTAGTGTCCTAAATAGCTGGGATTACAGGTGTGTGCCACCGTGCCTGGCTGATTTTTGTATTTTTAGTAGAGTTGGGGTTTCACCATGTTGGCCAGGCTGGTCTTGAACTCCTGACCTCAAGTGATCCACCTGCCTTGGTCTCCCAAAGTACTGGGATTACAGATATGAGCCACCTCACCCAGCAGCTGAACTCCTTGAATCTGTACATTTATGTCTTACCAAATTGAGGAACTTTTAGAGGGCCACTGTTTTCTCCAAATATTTTTTCTGCCTTTTTTCCGCCTTTTTTTCCCCTTTCCTTCTGGGAGGAACTCCAGACCCTTTAATATTGTTTTACAGATTGGTGAGGCTTTGTTTCTTTTTTTGTTTTCTCTGTATAGTCTTGCTCTGTAATCCAGGTTGTAGCACAGTGGTGCAATCGCAACTCACTACGGCCTTGATTTCTTGGACTCAAGTAATCTTCCCACCTCACCCTCTCAAGTAGCAGGGATTACAGGCACACACCACCACGCCTGGCTAATTTTTGTATGTTTTGTAGTGATGGGGTCTCACTGTGTTGCCCAGGCTGGTCTCAAACTCCTGGACTGAATGATCCTCCTGCCTCAGCCTCCGAAAACCTGGTCATATTCCCTTTAAGATGGCTTCATCTTTGTGCCATCTTTTTTTTTTTTTTTTTGTCCAGCAGCTGGAATCTGCTTTCAGTTATTTCATAAGCTGGGCTGCTTGGAATCAGCCTGGAATTTGGGCAGAGTTTATATGCAGAATTTGAGGCTCCCCTCTGGGATTCTCTCGATATACCCCCTTATTTTATAGCTGTTACAGTTGCTTCAGACTCTCTTCAGTCACATTTAAAAATGGAGTTCACCCAGTGCTGTTCCCTTTCTTTCAAGCTTTGGTTCCATCCATTTTCTCCCTGCTTTTGGTTGCTCTCAGTTCCTTCAGGAGGTGGTTTTTTATATTTTGTCCAGGGTTATAGTTTTTACCTGTGGGACAGTTGGTATGATATGATCTGGAAGAGGAACTGACTTTGATCTACCTTTTTAAGAAATTATGCGGGTTAGACAAAACACATTTGGGTGTGTTTTGGTGTTAAAGGTTGTCCAGGGTGATGAAGCCGAACTGGGACTTTTATGTTTTAAAGGTTTTATGTTTGCACTTTTCTTCCTGTCTCCTTCCTCAGCTGTCTGCTTTCTGCGGAGCCTGTAAGTTGTAGACACCAGCATCTCCCTGTTGCTGCACATCAAGTGTGTCTACATCTTGGGCCATATAGCCCTGCTGCCTGGGCATCCTGTGCATTGCAGGAGATAATGTAGCAGCATCCATGACCACGACCCAGCATAGGTCAGGGGCCACCCCCTAGTAGTAATGAAAAATGTCTCCAGATGAGGCTAAGTGTCCCTGGGGAACAAAACCCTCCCATTTGAGAACTGCTGCTCTAATCCACCGGCATCTGTAGTCCTTACTGTGCTCAGCTTTTTCCCAGTGTCTGATGCTGTTGGTTTCTGCCTTTTCAGAGGGCTCTTGGAGTTTGTGATGGTGTAAGCTTGAGAGATGCCTTCCCAGCTGCGGCACGCCTACCTGTTCCTTATTCCCAGCTGTGTTTTGGGGCTCTGGCCCTTTCAGGAGGTGTCTCAGGTTAGGGAATATAGCTTTGCAGTGAAGACCCCACACCACAACACTGCAGCCATAGTCGCCTTCCTGAACTGCTCTCTTCTGCACTTGGGCCTCGTTGGCCAGTGTGGCGCACTGGCAAAGTAACCTGTGTTGTGGCTCAGCAGTGTTGTCCTCAACTAGTTAATGTTCAGGTAGTAGCTAAAAAGTGTCATGTTACTGCTGTGTTCTTTCATGTTGAATTTGGGCCTGAACATGGAGGAGGGTAGTGGACTGAGACAAGAACACTGGCTTGAGCACAGCCAAACCTGACCAGGAATGCTTTCACCCTTGGTGACTCTTGGCTTTCTGCTTCTTATTTCCATCAACCTGGAGCTAATCCTGTGCTTGGAGTTGGAATATCTGGTTTTAAACTTTGCTGACTGTGTCATTTTGGGCACGTTCTGAGCCTTTGCCTGAGTCCACAGCTGTAACAGGAGGGACTGGGATGAGCTCTTTTCCTGTTAGTATTGATTTTGCTTTTATGCTGTTCCTTGTTGTCCTTTTGCATAGGCCTGGAATTATGCCAGCCACCTCACACATATTTTTATTCCACTGTGAACAAGTGGAAATCTGTGTTTTAGGGATGATTGATAAATTAAGTTATGTGTCCCTGGCCATGCTGTGATTTTTAGTGGTATGACTGGAGTTTGCTGTCTTGACTGACTTTTGTGTTCTTCCTTTAAAAAACGATTCCTTGTTCTTTTCTTTCAGCTTTATCATTTTGTGATTCTGTGTAATTTTTGTGATACTAAAACTGTCTCCTGTGATGTGAATTATTATAAAAATGTGATAAATTGCTTGTAGAGAAAACCAGACCCCACAAAGCTGTAGAGGTCCTCGCATACCTATCCTAGATTTTAAATGTAACATGTTGCTTTTTCTTTTTAAAATACCATAGTGTTCTAAGAACGGAAGCATCTGGGCTGGATGGAATTTAGCATCAAGCAGAGTCCCCTTTCTGTTCAGAGTGTTGTAAAGTGCATAAAGATGAAGCAGACACCAGAAATCCTCGGCAGTACCAACGGGAAGACTCCGAGCTGTGAGGTGAATCGCGAGTGTTCTGTGTTCCTCAGCAAAGCCCAGCTCTCCAGCAGCCTGCAGGAGGGGGTCATGCAGAAGTTTAACGGCCATGACGCCCTGCCCTTTATTCCAGCCGACAAGCTGAAAGATCTTACTTCCCGGGTGTTTAATGGAGAACCTGGTGCACATGATGCCAAATTGCGTTTTGAGTCCCCGGAAATGAAAGGGATTGGGACACCACCTAACACTACCCCTATCAAAAATGGCTCTCCAGAGATTAAGCTGAAAATCACCAAAACATACATGAATGGGAAGCCTCTCTTTGAATCTTCCATTTGTGGTGACAGTGCTGCTGATGTATCTCAGTCAGAAGAAAATGGACAAAAACCAGAAAACAAGACGAGAAGGAACAGGAAGAGGAGCATAAAATATGACTCCTTGCTGGAGCAGGGCCTTGTTGAAGCAGCTCTGGTGTCTAAGATCTCAAGTCCTTCAGATAAAAAGGTATTTAGGAGACATTCTGTCAAGGGTCACATGACCTTGAGCAGTGAGCATGGGCATCTCTTGAGGGTACCTGCATGAGTACTGGGGTGGGTGGAGGAGGGGAGGACAGGCCTTGTACTTCCAGCTGCTTGCCTGAGCCCTGGCTGTGGGTTGGAGCAGGACATCTAGGATGTTCTGGCACTGCTTCCTCAGTTCTCAGCTGGCTGCTGAGCCAGTTGAGAGGTCTAGAGAGGTGAACTAAGTTTTCAAGATTCAAATGGCTAACAAGAGGCAAACCTGTTTCTGAACGCAGGTCTGCCAGTTTCAGAGCCCTTGCTCGACAACGTCAGGCTACACTCTTTTCATGGATCTCATCTCCAAGGTGTTCTTTAGCCTGATGTGGTCAGTGGAGACATGCTGGGCTCTAGAGTATGACTTCTTAAGTCTGTACCATCTGATGAGTGGGAAGCAGGGCTGTGCAGAGGTGCTCCTACTGTCCTTCCCCTATGGTCTAGAGTCCACTTATTGTCTCCTCAGCCAGGTGGTCCAGCAGATGGCCTGCCTCCCGAGGCCTAGGGATGTGTTTTTTGCCTCCTGTTCTTGGTTCCCATTGCAGAGCCCCGAATGTTGAACACAAGTGAATGAGTGTTTCCTCATCCTAACTTGAGATGGAAAAAGGTGGTAGTGCTGCTCCATTCTGCCTGGTGGTTGGTGTTTCCATGCCTTCACGTGGCACTCAGGATGGCCCTAACACATATGAAACAACTGAGGGGCCATGGCTTTGGCAGAAGGAAGGAACTCTTGAAGGGACAGCAGTCTCTGTTCATCTGGTGGTTGACAGGGTATTTCTCTTTGGTTGCAGCTCCTTGAAATTGTTAAAATAATGAAGAGCTTTGAGGGATAAAAAAATTTTGAGTACTCAGGAGTTGTTTAATTCTTGCTCATGTAATTGTGGTGGCAGTTTTTATTTTTATTATTTTTTAGATAGGGTCTCTGTTGTCCAAGCTAGAGGGCAGTCGTGTGATCATGGCTCACAATAGACTTTACCTCTTAGGCTTGGGTGATCCTCCTACCTCAGCCTCCTGAGTAGCTGGGACCACAGGTGTGCACCCACTATGTGCCCAGCTAATTTTTCATTTTTTGTAGAGATGGGGTCTTGCTATGTTCCCCAGGCTGCTCTCAAACTCCTGGGCTCAAGAGATCCTCCCACCTCTGCCTCCTGAAGTGCTTGGGTTATAGGTGTGAGCTGCTGTGCCCAGCCTAGAAAGATTTTTTGAAGTGCCCATGGCTGTATTGAACCTCATGCTTTTGCATGGGAAGAGGCCTGTGCAAGTTGTCCGAGACCTAGCCGTTTTGTTTTCAGACAGGCTCTTGCTATATTGCATAGGCTGTTCTTGAACTCCTGGCCTCAAACAGTGTTCCTGCATCAGAGCTGGCTTTTTCTTTCTCTTGCAACTGAAAAAAAATAAACTAAACAAAAAAAGCTGGTTTTTATTCCTAGCTCTGTCCCTTGGTTTTGTTAAAACTTGGGTAACTCACCTGATTTTGACTCTACATCTGCAGAGTGGGGTCAATAAATGTAAACCTGGGTTGCTATGCAGTAATCTGGTAGCTATTCTGAAAGTATGTCAGGCCTGGTGCAGTGGCTCACTCCTGTAATCACAGCACTTCGGGAAGTAGGAGGATTGCTTGAGCCCAGGAGTTCAAGACCAGCCTGGGCAACATAGTGAGACCTTGTCCCTACAAAAAAAAATAAAATTAGCTGGGCATGGTGATACCATCTGTGGTCCCAGCCACTAGGGAGGCTGAGGTAGGAGGATCAAAAAAACATGGAAATGCGTCATGTGGCAGCTCATGCCAGCCGTCACCAGCATGCTTGTGGCAAGGTTTAGGGCCGTCATCCTCAGCTCACAGATGAGACAATTGAGGCCTGAGGCAGTGGAACAGTCTACTTATGTGCATAGTGCTCTGAGGAGCAAGGCCAGGGATTCACCCTTGGAGGACTGGGGCCATGCTGGCTGCACTCGTTCCCACTGGAGAGCAGAACTGTGAGTGGCTTGTGTGGAGGAGTTTGTTCTTGGTGGAATGTTCAGCCACAACCTATCCATGTTCTGGAGGTGGAGAAATTGAGGCTCAGAGAGCCCCAGAACTCAGATTCCATGTGATGGAACTGGGACTTGCTCCTACTCCTTCTGGTGTCCTTGCCCTCACCACACTAGGACAGTTCATGTTGGTGACACCTGGGCTGCTGAGAACCAATCGTCACACATGACTGAGGGCAGGGGTCAGTATGGATTTGGGATTCTGTGAGAATTCCTTTTTGACCAGTTGACTAAAGCACCATTAAAACCGTCTATTAATACTAGGCCAGGGGCCAGGCACGGTGGCTCATGCCTATGATCCCAGCACTTTGGGAGGCCAAGGCAGGTGGATTACCTGAGGTCAGGAGTTCGAAACCAGCCTGACCAACATGGAGAAACCCCATCTCTACTAAAAATACAAAATTAGCCGGGCATGGTGGTGCATGTCTGTCATCCTAGCTACTCAGGAGGCTGAGGCAGGAGAATCGCTTGAATCCAGGGGGCAGAGGTTGCGGTGAGCTGAGCTCGCACCATTGCACTCCAGCCTGGGCAACAAGAGTGAAACTCTGTCTCGAAAAAGAAAAATACTAGGCCAGGGAGATAGATTTATACAGAGATCTTTGTAATTTTTTTTTTTTTTTTTTTTTTGGGACAGAGTTTCGCTCTTGTTACCCAGGCTGGAGTGCAATGGCGCGATCTCAGCTCACCGCAACCTCCGCCTCCCGGGTTCAGGCAATTCTCCTGCCCCAGCCTCCTGAGTCGCTGGGATTACAGGCACGCGCCACCATGCCCAGCTAATTTTTTGTATTTTTAGTAGAGATGGGGTTTCACCATGTTGACCAGGATGGTCTCGATCTCTTGACCTCGTGATCCACCCGCCTCGGCCTCCCACAGTGCTGGGATTACAGGCTTGAGCCACCGCGCCCAGCCCTAGATCTTTGTAATGTTGAATGGCTTTTGTATGCTATGCACTGTCCTGATCCTTTAGCTGAGAGTGAGAGACAAAATTTTGATGAAGCGATATTGAGGCTATCATCTAAAACACAGCAAGGGAGCACACTCTATTTTTGGGAATCATGTGTATTTGGACATTTCAGCCTGATGAATCCTTGTCTTCTGGATATAGGGGTAGTGATTGGATGTGTTAGTGTTTGTTTTTTGTTGTTCATTTTCAGATTCCAGCTAAGAAAGAGTCTTGTCCAAACACTGGCAGAGACAAAGACCACCTGTTGAAATACAACGTCGGTGATTTGGTGTGGTCCAAAGTGTCGGGTTATCCTTGGTGGCCTTGCATGGTTTCTGCAGATCCACTCCTTCACAGCTATACCAAACTTAAAGGTACTGTGTTCTTTGGGCTGTTTTTCCAACTTTCTCTTCTGCTCTTAATCTTTCTCATCTCCAGGCTTCTTTCTTACTCTTTCTAAATAACCCTGCTGTGGTTCGTATTTGCAGCTTTACCTAAAGTTAGTGATTGATTCAAATGTGACATGTTGTCATTGCTTTTTATATTTAACTCAAATACGTACTTCATCTGATTGAATTAGTGATAAGGGAGACATGACTTTTGCCTTGTATAATTTCTGGTTTTATGATAAATAGTTCATGACTTAGTTATAATGATTGCTTATTTCAGCATGATTTGCAGAGTGTTTTGTGCTAAGTTTAAGTTGTAAAAATGTCCAAGTGAATTTTATTAGGCCTCTGGGAAGATGGAGAACACTGGAAATGATCATCTTTGTCTTATGAAGCTTGAGTAGATAAGTGGATTTTTTTTTTTTTTTTTTTGATAAGTCTTGCTGTCTCACCCATGCTGGAGTGCAGTGGCATGATCT